ACACGCAGCATCTCCAATCTGTAGATGTTCATTTATATCCGTAAAGGAGTCTCGAGACACAGATCATATGCACCCCACACGAGTATATCAGTCGAAGCAATCAGCTACATAGTATCGCCAATTACCTTTATACACATCTACGGCAACGTAGTAGTCTTTGGGCTGACTGACTATAATATCATCCGTACATAATAGTCCGACAGATTGACTCATAAATGTATCCATCAGACTCGTAACGTAATTCCTGTCAATAGGGGGATATCGCAATATGGCCTGCCATACCTTGGGACGATTGTTGAGAATATTGAGCATTTCTGGCGAATATGGTCTCCACTTTGGAAAAAGATTACGTCTACTGGCCATGTTATTCTTATCCTCCTTGTTCGTTGTGGATAGTTATTGATCTATACCGAGCGAAGCTTTAAAGTTGTTGTCTGTTAAAGCTGTAGGCACTGTAGTATATAAATATACGAATACATGAATATATACACTATCTCCATGTGATTGGGCGCCAAATAGTAAACGTTTAAGAAATATGAAAGCTATCTTACTTAAAATATGTCGACCATTATTAAGAAATCAAATTGAAACAGAAAACTGGCTTAATTGAGAAATAAGAAGTATGCATTTGGAATTTATTATTAAGAACCACCGTTTTGACATGAATACTATCTTATTCTTAATCAATAATCACTCTCTTTGTCTCTTGCTCGAGTCCCGACTCCCTGACACCGGAGTCATGAGCTCCTGATCCCTGAGAGCAGAGTTATAAAACTACTCCCCCTTGTGGTCTGTACTCTGTACTGACCACTGACTCTAAGTGTATCCTGTGGGGACTGGGGAGTGTGGGCTGTACCGCACTACATACCGCTGGACCCCTGGGGCCTGAGGGCTGCTCCCTGGTGTATACTCAGTAGTCAGTACTTTTAAAACCTGGTGTTCGGCCATAGCTCTCGGGAAAAACCTTGGTTGATAAAAAACCTTATCCGTTGACCATTTGGCGCGCCACTTTCGTGTGGACCAACGGAATCATCGATTTTTTTAAAGTATGTCAGGAGCGAGCGAAACGAGCGACTTTTGATTAATAGACCTATATAATGTACCGAATATTAACAAGTGGGGACAAGCATTTCAAATTTCGAATAACACACACACATACCCCATTTTTACACCGTTATACACCTGTACACACGATGTTTGGCGAGCAGTTGTGCATGCTACGAGATTCCAAACGAGCTACATTTACTTGCATTGTGATAGTATCTAATATATGCACACAATCTGACCATTACAATACAAAACAACGTATATATATAAAAGCAGTGCGAGATCACGAATGGAGATCTACATACATAAAATGGTGATCTTATGAAACCGTGCGGTCATTTAGTTGAGATAAGCCATCTATAGCCTATTCATGGGGGTAAGCAGGCTACTTGAATATGTCGAGGTGAATGGATGTTCGATCACCAAAAGTAAGTCGCAGTCAACTCACAACATATCCTCACTATAGCCACAAGCAGAAAATAAGTTCTGTATAACGGATACTTCATCTCTAATACATATAGCAATAGATCGCTGTACACGTAACAATTACATGAATTCACTATCAATTGCGAGGGGTATACATGTACATAGTAATGGGAGAATTACCCTTGCACTTGAAAACGAGATAACGCAGACCTTTAAAACCTACGAGAACACTTGCACAAAGCTACTGGGCTGTACACCAATTTTTGTATTTGACGGCAATATACCACCAGCGAAACCAAAAGAACACGAGAACAGGCTGAAAGCTGCTAGGGGTGTATTCGACATATGGAAGCTGCTGGATAGTCAGGGAGAAGCTACTGCAATTGAGGGTATTAAGTTGTTTTCTAAAGCTTGTATTTGTACCTGGGAGCATACTCGCATCGGTATAGATTATTGTTTAACAATGCATTGTCAAAAGTGGGTTGCGCCGTATGGAGCAGATTCACAACTTGCTTACCTCTGTAAGGAGTTACCAGTGGAGACAATGGTTGCATCGGTGGACTCTGATATGTTAGTTTATACTGGTGATGTTGATATTTGTTTCTCTTCAAATGTTGGAGCTGTTAGAACCATGCCATCCAATTTTAAAGCTTGCATGTGCACGCATGCCGATAAGCTGGCATTTTTAGAAGCCAAGGATATTTCTGAAACTGAGTTCATGGCTTGTTCGTTATTGATAGGCTGTGGCTATACACGCCACTAGATCTGTTTCGCATACTCTTGAACACGATTAATTCTCCGGACAATTCTGCTGTATCACCAATACTCTGTACAGCTGTAGAAGATGATGCTTCCTGAACAGGTGCAGGCACAGTTGCTCTCGTACCAAATAGAGTGCGCAGACCTGGAGCGTATA